AAGCAGTGAGGTCTGTATCAAAACAAGGTCAACTCCAGCCTCGCTGCCATCCAAAGGCCAGGTCACTGAGCAAACAACTGTAAAATGGTCTATTGTAACTTGAAGTCACCAAGCAACGTATTATAGTTTGAATATCGAAAATTTTCCATTGGGCATTTTTTTAGGGATCAGTTACATTACTTTGGTCAGTAAGAAAATAAGAGTAAAACATCTACTCTAGCAGAGAGGAATTAATTCGTGTGTTCCATATTTTCGTGCAAACATCTATTTGCTTACATATTTTACGTCAAGTAATAATTTTTCACGATTTTCATGAAATTTCCGTCCATATTTGGAAGGTTTTTGAAAAAAAATAAGGTGTCATGAAAACGTCCCAAATAATTCTTTTTTTTTCCCCTTCCTTTCGTTTCCGATAGTGTTGATGTCAAATTTTTTTTGATTACTCCGTCACAAATTTCAGTTCAATAAACATTGGCAAACGCAAACACATTCCAATCAACGTGACGCACTGCGATTTCATCTCTCATCTGTGAAAGATATTGAACTTTACATAAGGCTAGTTTGTGATCCTCTTTTCTTTTAATGGAAGTGGGATAGATCCTTACAATTCTTCGTTGTTTATCAAAAAGTAGTAAACTAATATCAGAATAGCATGACCATAACGAAGCGTTTTTTGGAACAAAGTTTAGCAAACGTTACCCCGTGTTACGTATATCTCAAGAAAACGAATTTCCTTTAAGAGAAATAAACCGATTTGGCCCTATAGCTCACAGTCAACGTAGTTCCTTGTAAAAGTTTTTTCTTTTTTTTACTCTGATCATTTCTTCTTGGAGTTGTAAAGAGCAGACCTTTTTATATCGATTAAAAAACGTACTCCTTGAATATTTCTCTCTCATTTGCCAAAGACAAAAAGGAAAAAAAAAAACGTTACTATCTATATTTTGAGCGGTAAACGTTTTAGACGAAGCTTACATCGAGGCTTTTAAGTTTCACCAATAACGAATTTTGTGAAATTTTAAGAATTAATTAAGCACTCCGAACAATGCGATTAAAAGAAGCTAAACTGAGAATATCAATACGGAAGATTTTTAGGGGGTAGAAGTTAAAATATAAAATTAATTCCTTCTTAGGACAAGATCATATTCGTCATTTATTATATTTGATCGAAATATGAATTTAGAAAGCAAAATTACTGACCAAAAGTCACGTACTATTTGATATAACGTAAAGACCTGCATTATGTATGAGATCATAACAAATTTCTTTCTTTCTTAGTTTTACTTAGTTGTGCTTTTATATGATCTCACTGGATTGGAACTTTACAAGATCAAAGAATCGGTCAGTTTTGGACTAGCTACTCGCTATTCGGCAAATGTACCTCTTAAGAGTATTATTTAAGATTAAACATTGAAGGCTTGATTACTATTTGTACAGGTGAACAGCTAAGCAAACCAATCAAAAAAACAGTGACACTGTTAATTCGCGATGTTACATGAGGATAACAGCTTTTTCTTTTTTGCTCATGAAATATGGCAAAATTGTTCTCAAACGATTGCATTCATGATCTATATTGCCCCCACGATATATAATGGACTACGAAAAATGTAAAGGAATCATTTAAACTAAAGGAAAGAACAATTCATATATTTACTGTTTCCATACATTCAGTTCTATACAACTAATGCATAACTTTGCGAATTTTCTCGGATTGACACACCGCAAGCTAGCATTCTTGCATTTTTTTTAAAGAAGTTGTTAAATAAGAGAAACTGAATTCCCTCGGAAAACGTCTATGAAAGGGAAAGGTTGGATGAAAAAAATTTCGCACAAAGTAATTTGTTGAACCTGGCGACAATAATGTTCCCAGTCAGCTGTGTTTAAATCGTGAGAAAACCTTCATGAATCACAGGTTATGTTTGGTCATAATGTCTCACAGGTGTGTAAACTTCATATCCTAGAGCACTAATTACTTACATGGAGTAATTAGGAATATAGCGAGGAGCGTTTTGTAGCTTTCTCCAACCCGCTGAGAATAACTTGCCTGTCTTAGCGGAAAAAAAAACATGAAGAACTATTTTGTTTTAGTAGCTATTGCCGCAATCTTCTGTGGTGCTAAGGGAGGCCTTCTAGATGATGAAGCGAAAATTCTTACTGATTTCAAACAGAAATACAACAACAGTCAGTCCGACATAATTTTCCTTATGGATGTTTCTGGCAGTGTGAGTAACTACGGCTTCACATCCGAGAAGATGTTCGTCGAAAACATGCTGAACGAGTTCAGCGTGGCCCCTTACTCCACACGTGTAGCAGTTATCACGTTCGGGGCGCAAGTAAAAACCGACATCAACTACATTGACATCGACCCAACATCAACAACACATCAAAAATGTGAATTTAAGCCTAGGTTTGAATATAACGTTGTCCATCGCCATGGATATGCCACAAACATGAGAGACGCCTTTCAGCGAAGCTCGGACCTTTTACAAACCGCTATTAACAACAACCATCGGAGAAGTAGCATCCATACAGTGGCCATAATGATCACGGATGGATACTGGAACATGGGAGACCCTAGGGCCAATGCCAACACACTGAAGAGTACGTATGGTGTAGATGTTATTACTGTCGGGGTTGACGGCTACAGTCAATGGCAGCTCGAGGCACTAGCAACTTCAAAAGACCATGTCCTCAAATACGCAACCTTCACGAAGTTCAGGGAACTTGCATTGTACATTCGGGGAGGTAAGACATACTTCAGTTTAAAATAG